GAGCAAATTTAACTGAATTTTAGTCTACATGCTTTTTCTCTACATGTGTAAGCTCAAAGATTTGTTCTGCATATAGGAACGACTTGATTTTCCCATGTTCCCAATAGCACGAAAATAAGTTTTCAGAAAATACCTAGCTCTTTTAGCTGCTGACACATTTAGAAAGAGTCTGATAAAGCTTTTGCCCTGGGAAGCCTCACAGCCTCTGTGAGACAAAATTCAGACAGATCATGCGACATAACCAGTAGCTCAGATGTTTCTGTGGTAAACCACCATGTTCTTTCAAGAGCTGTTGTTTTTTACCACTCTGTTAATGTTCCCAGGTGTGAAATCAAATGCTGGGAGAGCCAGGCTGGGCTGCAGCATGACTCAGCGTCCATCGTTGTATTCCTTTGAAGGAAGAAACAGGCAAGCAGCACTACAGGGGATCATGCCTTAAATATGCACATGTAAATATACAAACTTCAGTCCTGAGGAGTAATTTATCTGAGATGATTACCTACTTGTTCCCAAGAGAGTAAGAAAAGAAAGCATACAGGTAGTAGGAAAAAGTGTCATTGCATGGTAAATGAGTCTTCCCCATCATCTACTCTCAATACTGTCTGGATTCTGTAGGGTCAGACAAATATCCTGCATCCCATTCTGGTATCAGCACTGTGGTAAATTGGGACCATCTCCACTGAAGTCACTGGAGAAACTTTAGCACATAACAAGTCAGACTTATGGGACTTTGGATCCCATTTCATTCATCTGAATTTATATATTTAGAATGAGGTTCTTTGGAATGTGCTACATTAAGAATAAACATTTTGTGTCCTACTGTATAGCATTGGTTTACCTAGAGATAAACGTTTGCTTCTTATACCTACACTTAGGTGCCATTCTGCAGTGACTTCCCTTGTACACTGAGGAAGTTGAGGTGGAGTAACTCCAGTTACAGTGTGTGACATGATGCAACATGATTGCAACTCATCTGCAGCAATAACACATATTGCAGCAGAAATGTAAAGAAACAGAAACAGATTTTGATTTCCTAGAATTTGTATTTGAACTCTGAGCATGCATATGATCTCTGACAGAAACCATTAAATTATTTTAATGCTAGATATCTGGGAACTGATATCATGTGAATGTAACTTTTATCTGGATATTGAATTCCCATTTATTTTGCTGTGTGCGATTGATTACATAATGATCTACAGAATTTTGTATAGCTACTAAGTAAACAATATATATGAGACTTTGCATGGTCTGGGAAGGAAGCCTCTGGATCCATCCCTTCTCTGTTACACAGAAGGAAGAGTTCAGGCAATATGAAACTAGTCATTGTGTTGGAGGAAGTGGTCTTAGGAAAATAAAGAGTCTTAAACACATCCATGCCCCTACTCAGTTTCTGGCTGAGCCACTGATTTTCTGTGCAATCCTGGACAAATCATTTAGCTTATATCTGTAGTATGTAATGTAAGATCCTGCAGAAATACCCACAGTGACTTTGACTGAACTTTGAGAACTATTTTTTCCTCACCTCACTGAAATTTTCAGGTCTTAAAAAGCTAGGACAGGTCACATAGATCATGTGGTACTGTGATAATAAACTGTACATTTATCAAATTGGGTAGAAGACACCAAACCATTGAAACTCTTGGGGCAAGATATTTTGTTTGGTTGCTTGGTTGGTTTGTTTTTGGAAACAAAAAAGCAAATACCTTAATAGGAATAGGGAATTTTAGAAAATAAAAACTCCTCTTATTTGTGAAACTGTTTTCCTTAGATAAAATGGATTTTCTTAGAAAATTGCACTGTGGAATTAAGTGTCTGTGAATCTGGAAACAAGCCTTTTTTCTGTATTTGTTGTTGCCCTTCTGCCTGTCTATGTATGGGACCATGAGTGTACCAGGGAAGAGTGTAAACTGAACCTGGCCTGGCTGGTTCAGTGTCCTTGTCAAAACGACTTCGCTATGTGTTTGGAGGACCCTGGTGGCTAGCTCAGGCTCTGGTATCAGCAAGGGCAGCCGCAAGGCTTGCTGAGTTTCAGTGTAGCTGACAGAGCTGCTGCATTTCAGCAGTCACTCTGGGTCCTTGCAAAGATTTAAGTGCATCCCAGCACAATTCATGAGTCCCTTTCTCTGTCTTCCCTTGGATTAGAAAGGCTGCAAACTAGGAGCGACAGAATGGCTCCTGGGCTTCTCCCAGGCTCCTGCTATCCCTTCCTCGCCTCTGCGTGAGACCCCACGTGGTCGGCACATAAGATGTCTCAGGTGCGCTACTCCCACAGCACAGATGTGGCAGTACGTGGTCACTGAGTGAGTGCGGGGAATTCATTCTCTCTAGTAAGGATACCTTTAGTGCAGTGTGCTGGTGGGAGATGCTCTGGCTGCTGCATGGCTCTGCCACATCTCCCTACTGTGGCACCTGACCATTAGGTACTGCCTGTGACCCATCAGTTTGGGGCCTGGGGTCAGGGATGAATCTGGCTTTGAGAGGCAGATGTTGTGGCAGGGAACTAAGCTGGAAACAAATGAGCAAATGCTGAAGATGTCCGATAACTCTGTGCACTCCTGGAAGGTCCTTACAGCTATTAGCCCTGAGGAAGAGGGGGACAGAAGGGGAAGGAGAAGTCACCTTAAGCCAGTGGGAAGGGGCCATGCAATAGCAATAAAGTGAGTGTGCTCTTCTGTGAAGTCCTTTCTCATCTGAAAAACATGAATTTTAAGTTTACAATGTCACTTTTCTATGTTTGCATGAGAATAAGTCTGTTAAATACTCTGCAGAAAGTGAATGAGGCATTTGTGTAAACAAAAGCATTTTGAAATATGAACTAAAATTCTAGGAAGCCTTTGTACACCCACCTTTGCTATCCCCCTTTTAGCTGCTCTGAGGCCCTTTCATAAAGTTCTCTTTTTACTTTTAAAATAAGCATATATTGTTACCAAGTTTGTGCTCTGGTATTTTTGCTTTGACTCACAGGGAATAGCTGTTTTTATGCTAACCCTTCAGCTCAATGTCTCATCCTACAGTCTTCTTCATGACTGAAGCTCTCTGATCTTATGTGAGCAAATATCTTGCAATTACATTTCACAATAATTGCAAAGACAGGGTAATAAACCACAGCAGAACTTGTTCTGGTAATGGTGGAGAATTATGAGGAATGCTATATGAAAACAAGAAAGCAAGCTATAAGAAGTTCATTTTCAGAGGCAGAAAGAGAAAAAACAGAGTGCAAAGGTGGGCTGAACAGTTTAGAGGTGGAAGGATATTCTGATTTTGCTAAAAGCAACAGTAACATTGATGCATTGTTTTTTGCTTTGTAGTCTTTCCTTTTTTCTCTCTATATATTGGACATACAAACATTTTAAAGCAAGATCAGACATTCTCTTTTCTATATATTATTGTAGGGGATATTTCTTAATGGTGTAGTTTCTTTCCAGATGCAAGATGAAAAACCTCCACCCCCAGTTTTGAGTAGCAATAGCTTCCTCAGGAGTGGGTCAGATACCTGGTTAAATATTCCAGGCAGTTCCTTTAGAATGAAATTATAGTTGCGATATGGGTGGCAATTGCATGAGCACTGTAGGTGCTTGCACTCAGTATTCTTGCAGGTACGTTTCCTTGTGGGTAAAAACCTTTCAGGTTGTTGTTTTTTTAGTGATGCGCTATTGCTATTTAGAAGACTACTTACTTTCGTGGGAAAAATTGTGCAAAGTGGTCTGCACAGGTGTTGGCTGATATTTATGTAACAACAACAAATATTAGAGCAGGAACTCAGATCCAAATTCCTCTGAATTTCAGGAATATTCCAATCCTGTTTCTAATCTGTGCATTTTTGATTTGTCTCTAGCAAATACCAAAGGCATTATTTAAGTATAAGATAGTTTCTTAAATAGTTACCCCAATCTTTTTCTAAGGAAGTTGTCCCTGAGAAAGTTTCTACATATAATGAGAGGTGCCTGTATAACCCATGCAGACTTGCAAATTGGAAGAATTGTTTTGCATATGATAACTACACAGTAGTACAGAAGACAATCTGGAATAGTTCAGCCACCATCCCTCACTGTTTTATAATTAGTTACCTTATTTGAGATGCCAGACATAGAAAATTATTATCCTTCTGAACTGCCATTTCCCGTTACTATTTGGCAGCCTTAATTTCATTATATGCTGTAAAAAAACGCTCTGCAAACTCTGCTAAACACGATTGCCTTAGAAAAGTAGCTAAAGCATGTGAGGGTTAAACGTAACTTTTTTCCCAGAAGTGTCATTTGCCTGACTTAGAATTCTTTAATAGATACTGAGCAGCGCAGAACTGAAAGTATTTTTAATTTCAGTGCTTTGTATATTTACAGAGGGATTACAACAAACTTCTACACTTTATCTACATTTTAATAGGTCAGTGTGAACATATGAAGTGTATTAAGGTGGACTGCCTTACTTATTAAACTTACGTGAATTCGTCAAAAGCCCTTAGCAGTTGTACGCAATAGGGGCTGGAAAGCCATGCATGATTGAGGTCACGCATCCAGCCAGTTTGTAAGATGATCCCTCTGTACCGAGCCATCAGCCATCCTTAGCATAGGGGCGCACTCATACACGCATTCCTGTCAAGTCATCTTGTGAAAGGCTGCTTGCTTCCAGCTTGGCTTGAAAGTGCAACCTTAATAAAACTCACTGAAGTCTGAGAGAAAATAGCAGTTCTGCAGCAGATAGTGTAGGGGAAAGAGACTGGGATATGCATATGCAGCTGACTAAAGCAGGCTACATGCTGGACTGTAACAGAGAGGAAACAATAAATCTTAACTACTATGCAATAAATATTCCCAATTTTAACTAAAAGGAAGCTATCCTCATAGTGAAATTTAAAAAATAACAGTTTATCCAAGCTTGATTACTAAAGTGCGCTTCTCCAGTCCTTCTTCCAAAGACTTTAAGGGAAATTAAGAACAAATTTAAAGAAAGAGGAAGAAAAAGTTTTTCTTAAAGTAGGGAAGGAAAGTAATAATAACATGTCAGTTTTCCTTTCCTTTGCTTTCCTGGCAGCGATTCTTGCTCATATAGGCTGTAATAACCAGCGTCGGGGTCCAGAAGCCAGTGGGAGAAGATTTAACCGGATTCAGCATGGGCAGTGCACCTATACTTTCATTCTGCCAGAACAGGACGGAAACTGTCGTGAAAGTACGACAGACCAGTACAACACAAATGCTCTTCAGAGAGATGCTCCTCACGTGGAACAGGATTTCTCTTCCCAGAAACTGCAACATCTGGAACATGTGATGGAAAATTACACTCAGTGGCTCCAAAAAGTAAGTGTTTCTTTTTTTCATTTCTCACTAAACGGATTTTTTTTTTTGGTGATGCTTATGCTATTCAAAGTTTTCATTAGTTTCTATGAGAACTGAGGTAATAAGGATCGATCTAGTTCATGACTGTGTAGGGGAGAAATGTTTCAGCCAGAGTACACCCTTCTTAGTGACATTGCTCTTGGGAGCAGAATTTTCTTCACGTTACTGAAAGATGCAACTTCTTAAAGCTTTATCTCAAGAGACCATGGATGTTTGTGAGCCAGAGAACACAAAAAACCTAATGACAGAACTTACTAAGCATTCCTATAAACTCTACTTATAGTTCACAGCTTCAGATCACATGCCATGCAGGATACCTGCTACTCTGACAGCAAAAGGGAGCATTTAAAAAAATCAGCATTTAAAGGCACTGGGTTAAGAATAACATTGTTCCTCCGTAAATAGATCCTGTAATACGATTCTATACAGCTAATTGCTGGGAAGAAAGAAGAAAGTATACAGGCATTCACACTCCTAAAACACTGCAGTAAAACTTTTTAACTGTGTAAATTACACTGGACTTGAAACAGCCTGTTTTAATTTGTGTGTGTGTATGTGCATTCATTCATAGAGAGGGAAAAATGGGTCTGAAGGTGTTGCAGTAACTTAGCAGAAATAATTATTTTTAAGAATCTGTGCAATAACTCTAAAATTCTAATGAACTTTTCAGTATTTTATGTATGAGCTGAAGATTGGGCCTGAAAAGACTTAAATATGTGAATAATTTCACTCATATGAGCAGTCCCATTCACCTTAACAGGATTACTCACTTGCGTAAAATTACATACCTTGCAGGATCTTGTCCATGCCTTGGTAATGAAAATGCCTTGGGATAGCTGACCAGTAAAAATAAATAAACTAACAGTCTTTGTATATAGTTATTTGTAATATTCCCATTCTCACACTGACATTTTGACCTGGGAAAACTTAGAAAATTGAGCAATTGAGTGACACAACTAGTCATGTAAGATGGCACGAGAAAACTGCTGTATGTATGTGTTTGAGAAATACATGATTTAACTCTGACACAAGTTCATACTAAGAATGAACATCAATAAAAATCTAGTGAAGACTCTACTAGGCGGGCTAAAATTTTGTATTAGCATAGTTACTGTTACCTATCTCATTTACAAGTTTTGTTTCATCCAGGCAGCATACACGACAGAAATATGTTGAAAAGCATATACAGCCGTCCCCATCCCCCTAACGCTACTAAAATCTTTAGAGAGGATTTCCTGATTAATTGTGCTCTTTGCATATCTGGCTCTAGCAAGAGAGAAAAGACTCTGTCCAGTAAATATGTGACTATAAAACAAAATATAACCAAGCATTTTTTTTAGATTACTTTCCTCATTTTTTAATATCTTGGTCTGCTTTGGGGAATATAAGGCTGGAAATGAGGGGATGTCTTTTGTAGAGGAAAGCATTTCTTAAGAAATTATTTTACTGTACCTTGGGAGGTTGAGGCAAGCAGTAAAAAGAGGAAAGTTGTTATCTGTGTTTATGCACACATGATTTTACTTGAGCAAATTGCCTGCTGAATCATGCTTATAAGACTTTACTTATTCTGTGTTTGTCCACTAGAGACTGAACTAAGATCACTGTTTCACTGTGAACTGAACATGAAGAAATATGAGTCTCTGGAGTGTGAATGTCTGAGTTAGGGTTAGTCCTCTCACACTTTGGAGGGAAGTGATTAAACAGGTAGGAAGCCCAATGAAAGCGGTTTATATTTGAGGACTGTTTTCTTCTGCAGTAATTGTAAAACTGGCTATGGGCAGAACCATCCCCCTCCTTTCCTTCCCAGCCCCCAACCCTCTGCTCCCAGGGGTTTACATAAAACTGGGATTGTGCACGTATCCCCATGTGTCAGTTTTCCCTGGAATGAAAGGACCCATTTCTCCGTGTGATGGAGTACGGCTCACTCTGAACAAATGAGGCTGATGCAGCTCCATTATAGCATCCCTGAATACTGAATTTGCTTTGTTGCTGTTGCCATTACAAAGCATCTCAGCCATAACTCATTTTCTTTCAAAACAAGCATAATGCTTAAGTGTAATGAATATATTATGTAGATCTCTCGCATCTCAGTTTTATACTCTGCATTTATTTTTCCCCCTAGATTTTTAATATCAGATATGACTGCTGCTACATTAAAGAGCATTTTACAATGCACCTGCTGTGAACAAAGTAAAGAATAGTTAATGGTTATAGGTCTATGACTGGAAGTGAATAGTTATAATAAGAAATAATGTTTAAGAATTTGAGATATATTCTGATCTGCATAAAGGAAATGTGTTTATTACATCAGGTAATATATATAACTTTCATTAAAGTTGTACATAGGCAATGTTTGGCAGGGTGAATTATTTTCTCAGCACAAATGCTGGCCTGCAATATTGAAAGAGTATTTGTTAAGAAAGTTTGTAAGAATCATGGTTTGCTTAACTCTATAGTATTTTAATTTAATTTTTTTTCCTTGATATCTAAACTAGAAGATTTCTAGAAGCAAAACAAGTATTCTTTTATTTAAAAAAAGCAATTTTTTTATGTTTAAAACCAAAAGTCCTTCTTTGATGACCTACAAGATTGACTGTAGATAAAATGTGCCTGCTTGGGGAGCCAGTTACAGGCAATTAAGTCCCAGCCTTGTCCATTAGCATTTGCATATCTATAGTCAGCGTAACTGGGACTGGTTGGCAAACCAGGACACGGCAAAACCCTCTGCACAGAAACTACTCGGAAGAAGATGACTTGGTAAACATTTTTAGAGATTTTCCTAGAACTGTTTATTTTAATACCGGATAACTTTCCCCATTGTTTAAGCTTGGGTTTCATTTCTGCAATATGTTTATACTAATAGTTCAAAACAAACAGTTCATCACATTTTCTTTCTTGCAGTGACTGGCCCACGTGATACTGTTTGGTATTTAATTACAGTGTCTAAGTATTGCCAAAGAGGAGTTACATGAAATGTTATCATCATGTCTTACTTGGGAACTTTCTGTTAGCTTGCTGAACTTACGGTATCAATGGACTCAGTATACATTCAGGATAGCTATATAGATGAGTGTTTCATATACTTATCCCTCAGTCTATACAGTAGTAATAATTGTTATTACATTAATAAGTGAGTTTTACATGATCCACTCTTTCTTTTTTTCTGATCATTACCTAAGCAGAATACCCTAAAAGTTTAAAATGAATGCTTAATATTAGTATATCATAAGAAGCTAACACAGACGTACAAGTTTCAGTTGAAAGTGAATTGCAATCGTTCCGGTCAGCCAGTATCCAAACTTATATATTTTTTTTTCCTTTTCTCTGCAAATATTGATGGTACCACTACACATAAAACAAATAAAGAAGCTTCAATTCACTTTCCTTTCCCTTCAAAGTACCTGTGCTGTCACCAGCTATAACAGAAGAAGTATAAAATGATGAGCTGTATTCAGTCATTAAAGAAAGAAATTAGGAGTAGTGTTTTGGAGGGTGTCTGTAGCCATTTGATAGTCTACTTTAAAGTTTATTCTTACCATGGTTTTGATAAATTGCCTATGGCGTTCTCAGTGCTCTCTCTTGACTTCCTTATTTTGCAGAAGTAACATCACAAGTGCTCACTTGGGTTTTAAATGTGTAAGGAATCTAGGTTTTTAGATGGACCAGTCATTGTATAGAAGAAACCAGCTTTTGGAAAGACTGGTGTCTTTACCAGCAGGGCCTTGCACTGCAAAGAGATAGTAATAATGTGTGAAGTGGCTGGATTTTGCCTTGGATTTTATCTGGTTTGCTGAAGATGGGAAAATTCTTTCCATGTCACTCTTGCTGTGAAGCTGCGTGAAAGTGTGGCAGCCTGCCCTGAAGAGGGCAGCTCTAAAGAGCTGTCATAATATCCTATGAGGCAAATTTATATTAATATAAAGATGGAAGTGGCCATAGTGTGTGTAAAATTTTGTCACATTAAGAAACCAATTTTCCCTAGTTGAACTATTACAAGAAATAATAAAAATTCCATTTAATTTATGGTTATGTCTCACTAGGCATTTTGTAATGTAACATGTGACCTTAAAGTCCACATAATATTTGGATGTTAAGTGCAACCAGGAGATCCATGATGAACTCCTGTTAATTTTCACAAATAAAAGCAGGTCATTAGATTTGGAAGATGCCATTCCGCTTGCATGAACTTTACTAACAGGGCTGTGTAAAGAATGGCTTTCTGGTAAATTTTTCATTTTTCAAGGTGGACCAGGGCTAAAACGGAACAGTGAGAAAGCTTCATCCAGAACTGGCCACTAGCCTCCTATTTGGCATCCAGCTTGAATCTCGATTCCTTGTCTAGACCCAGAGGCCATTTACTATTCTAGGTGCTCCTTTTTGCTTTGGAGTCAATGAATTCTCATATCCAAAGCAGAATCTCATCCTAGTGACATTTGAAGTGTAGTTCCCACAAACAAGCTGCAAAACAAATGGTGGGATTCAAATTGGTGGGATTCAAATTAGTGGGATTACTTATATAGTATGCACTACTCAATGAGTAAGTATATATGAAAACCAAATTTAAGGAGCAAAAATAAGTTCATGGAAATGGACTGCTCCTAAGAAAATTCATGTTTGAGTGTAAAACCAAAATTGCTTATTTACCTCCAAAAGCTCTCTTGGCCAATAACACGTATGCATTTCAAAGCTTTATTAATCAGATTGCTGAAGTCCTTGGGATATTCTGAGGTACCCACAAGAAAGAGGCAAGAGTTCAAATGTGGAAATGCCTGAAAGTTTTATATTATTGGGGGATAACCTATTTGGCAATGATTTTTTTAAGAAGCAGAAGAATCAGGGAAGTAGACTGAAGGGTAGTCTCACATGTTGCCACATTTGGTAGCAAATTACTTAAAAAAAATATTTCCCATGCTTGGACAAAAGGCTTTATCATAATGTTCAGTAGAACCTGAATGTGTTTA